CAGCTTCTTGAAAAATTGCTACAGATTAACTTTAAGAATTTAAACTTTAAGAATGTATACATATAGATATAAATAGTATTTGTATCACATATTTTTATGACGTTAATGACGAATAATTTAATAATAATAAACAATAGCTGACGAGAGAGAGTGCGAAGTGGTTACCGCGTGGGTTCGCAATCAGGCGGATCGCGGATTCAATCCCTATCGCAACAACCCTGAAATCCTGCAGTAGCGATATCAACTTTCACTTGGGAATATAGATCTTATATATGTTTTCAAGTGAAAATGCCCTTCCTGGACATTGATGCATCAAATTGAATAATAAGTCAGCCTTATTAGATAAATTCTAATAATAGAACAAGCAAATACAGGTGGATCACCCTTTCAGTTGATCTTTGGGTTGGTATGGAGAAGTTTCAGCCAATAGCTTATAGGAGGAAAAGTTGTGATGGCTGTTAAAATATACAAAATTTTATGGTTTTGAATATACTGGTTTGTCATTTTTTTATTTTTATTTTTTTTATTATAGAGTTACGATACTAGTTCTTTTTAATAATTCTTCTGTTAGGGTGAGAAAGGATATTTTAAAGCTACTTTAATGGCTTCATTCATCATAGTGTGTAGCTAGGTTGCATTTCTATTTGTGATTTGTAGCAAATATGTGGATTAATAGGATTTTATTATGAGTTTTTTGATTTTACTTCCAACATAGTGTAATTTTAAATGGTTGGATTCAGTGTATTAGCCTTTTTAAAAGCTTTATTATTTGTTAAATTAGCATATTGGGGCAAAAGTAACCTTCCTTTTTGGGCAGTTTAAAATACGTAAGCAAGTTGCGCTTTAGAATGTCAGGAGTATGCTAATTATAAATAAAAACAGAGACAAATATCGTTCAAATAAAAGATATAGATAAGGTAAACAAACTTGTAACAATATGAATTCAATGATAAAATGTACGTCGCTTGAATTCAAATAAAACACAGATCCAAAATTGGAATTGTGCTTAAGGCAAATTACTGGAACCTCACGCATTCTAAATAAATGTTGTATACAAAATTAACCAAGAGACAAAAATTCGAAATTCGTAAATATTCATTTAAAAACATTGTAACAAATAATTGCAACATTTGAAAACTACAAATAATTATTGAACAGTTTCTATTACTATAATTTAACAAATTTATGTATTTGACCCAAGAATATCACTGAATAGTATTATTAACCTTTCTGAGAAGTGTCTACTAATTACTATATTTATAATGTCTCATTTGATAAATGTGGTAAAAATGAGAAATTATTGCTAATGATAACTGTGATGCATTTTATAAACAAAGCTGCGATAACAAATTGATCTGGAAGAAACGGGATTATTCTATTAAATATTTAAATCTTTCATTGACTGATTGTTTAAATGTTTCTTTTAAATCTTATTTAGTATTAAATTGTGCATTCTTTAAAAATTGGATTTTTTTCTTTGAAAAATTTAAAATTTCTGATAAGATTGATTTTTTTGAAAGAGCAAATATAAGTTTCAGTTGAAATATACATACGGGGTATCCCAGAACTCAATGTCAAGCCAAAAGAGGGTAATATTATTGATCATAACTTTCATGAACAATGACCCCATAGTTCGATTCCATAAGTCCAAATGGGAACTATTATAGCTTTGTACAGAAGTACTTTGTTGTCTACAGAAATTTCGGATTTCCTCCCAAAAAGCCAGTAAAAATCTTTTATTTTCAGTTGGATTTGATGAAAAAAAATAGAAAAAAACTTCTTTCTAAGGATTTTATCTTTTTACACGATTTTTTAATTAAGATCACGATTAAATGCGTCAAATTTTTATGAAATTTACTAACACACTTTTGAGCTTTTTTTTAAAAAAAGCCTGTCAAAATTGACCAATTTTGCAAATTTTAAACTCATAGTTCAACAAAAATGTTAATTCTTGAATACTTGGGCAAGTTATGTCATTATTTTTGACACAATTTTGTTCTTTTGTGACTTCTAGAAACGTTTGAAGAAAGCAAGTCTTTTGCAAGTTGGTTGGGATAATTCTCATCACTGTTAAATTTAATTCTGCATTCCAAAAATTGAATAAATAAAATATCAACCAAACAATTCCACCATACTTGCATGTCACCATACTTGAATGTCTATGGCAAAGAGAGGTATGAACCAAACAAAATTGTTCGAATTCTAGATTTAGGTTTACATCTCCGAGACATTAAAATATTGAAATGAAAATCAGTCTGTAACATTGTATTACAAATTTGTGCGTCATAATTTAGTATATCCAAACAATAATGAACAGAATTAAGAGTAATGAAGATAATACAATACAAAGTGCAAACTGATAATATGAATGACTGTCTGTAAGTTAAATTTAGCCGTGTTTATGTTTATAGTACAGACGTAACTGGTTCTCATTCGCACCTATACATTGCTCCAATTCCGTGGACTTCAACACGAGTTCTTTAGATAAAATTCATTACCAACAAATAATTATAAACTAATACAAAACAGAAAACAATGATAATGATATTTACAATTTCATTATTGTCGTCGGCAGCTTGGAATTTTTATGCGCTTGTACAAACAACCGAAATATACAATATAATACAATGTGAAGGTCGAGTAAAGGTTAGACACAGCACAAATTAATCTTACAAGTGTTAGAAAAAGAAATTGATCTCGATACCAAAAGATTTTCAATATAAGATAGTGAGAATGCAGGCATAAAAAATAAATATTCATTATTTTATTTTTACATAAAAAACAGCTTGTGTCGCAATAATAGAACTGTTTACAGATGTATACATCAAGAATATTTGCATATTGAAAGTTTTTTGTTGAAAATCTATTAGCCAATAAGTCGAAAAAAAATAATATTACATTAAAAAAGAATAATATGTACGTTTCGACACTAGATATGTTTCATCTTTTTGCAGTTCTTAACAAAAACCCAACAAAAAATAAAAACATCTCTTTACATCTCAACTCATTTATATTTTATCCATGATTTCTCAATCAAAGTTAAAACAATATAAAAACATGGTCTTTTTGCTCCTTTTGCTCATAGAAATGCTGCCAAAAATAAATGCTTAGGGGGCGTCCATTAATCACGTGATCGATTTTTTTAAGGATTTCGGACTCCCCCACCCCTTGGTGATATATTGTGATATTTAGAATTAACCCCCCCTCCAAATATCACGTGTATTTTTAGTTACGTAAAATTTTCGGAACGAATTTTTCAAACGAAAAAACGAAATTTTTTGTTTTTTTTTTTTTGAAAATATAGGTAAAAAAATAAATACACGTGATATCTTACTAGACCCCTCCCTCCCTCATGTGATTTTTCTTAATTTTTTGTCAGCCGCTTCGCAGATATGGGGCAAAAAGTGCCAAAAATGGTAGTTCAGTTTCTGAGATAACGGAGCGTCCGATTTGAATGATTTAAAAAATATTTTATGTATTTGTATTGACGAAATGAAGAACTAAATAACTTCTTAGGAAGGCAGTCTAGCGATTTTGGAGATCCAATAAAAAAGTCAGGAAAGTTGAAAAAAAGTTCAAAATTTTCAAAAAAATTAAAATATTTAAAAAAATTAAATTTTGATTTCATTATTATAACTAAATTATCTAATAAAGTTATCGTGGCGGTTAATGTGTTGAATTATATTACGGACGCTTCAACGTTTCAAAACTAGACATGTACCATCTTCAGGTAATGTAATGAATAATAAAACCTGTTTTGACAAAGTTAATAAATAATGTTATACACAACAGTCTTCTTGCTATTAAATATAGAATTTAAATAAAAAAATGTGATTTTTTAATATTATGTTAGATCAAGGTGGTCCAATTCTCTTGCAAAAGTGTTATGATGTTAGGCAGATATATTGAATATAATAATTTTAAAATAAATTACATCTCTCTTGCGGCACTCTCACACTTTAATTAAACTTTAAAATTTTACTTGTTATATTCTAATATAAATTTTATATTGCTCAAATATTTTTTTGTAATTTTATAGTAAACAATGTACATTGATAAAACATATTCAAAACTAGTGGTGTATGGTTGTAACTTCCCATACCGTAATTAAAAATCTTGGTACGGAACCCAAAAAAATTTACACAAAGTGTGTACACATTATTAAAATCTCTATAAAATATCTGATAATTTGATGTACATATGTCCAATAAGCATTTTTGACCGCCAAATGAGATTTTTTAATTTATTTTTATTGAGGCATTAACCGCTGGACCTGTCGTCCCAAAAATTTAATCAGTTTTTCCATCTTGTCAATACAAGTAAAATGTTTATTGAATTATTAAAATCGGACGCTGAGTTACCGTTTTTGGCCCTTTTTGCCCCGTATCTTCGGAACGGCTAGACCTGCCTTCGCCAAAAACTAATCAGCACGTTTCCTTTATAATACGAATCGAATGTTTTATGAATCATTCAAATCGGTTGATCGGTGTTCCCGAAATCGTCGACGAAAATTCGTATCCGCACACGTAAACATACATCCATTTTTTCTAAGGTATGCCAAAATATTCAGAAACCTTTGAAACGCAAAGATATATAAATTTATTCATTTTCGATTTTTTTGCGATTACTATAACTTACCCTACGGGAAGTTAAAAAACAATTTAATTTGTACTTGTTAGATTTCTCGCATGAAGTTATCTTATTTTTGACAGATCATTTATATCAATATAAGTTTATTATAAACAGTTACTGTCAAAAAGCGTTAACACAATTTGATACGCAATGTACAACAATGTAATTATTTAATTAGTTAAAAAGTACGAATGTTTAAACAGAATTTAATTATTTATATATTTTAAATAAGGTTTCTGTGGTGGTTGTGACAATTTGGAACACAAAATTGTGAACGAGTAAACATAATCGGCGATTGAGTATTAGGAAGCGATTGAGGTTATGTAGCAGGTATCGATATTTAATTCATATTATATATATTCACTAACCTGATTTAATAATTTTTACGGCTTCTTCGGCAGTAACCCATTTCGGTTCTTTGTCTTTGATTTGTTGGGCAGGCTCATTTACATACGAATAATAATTACGGCTCGAAATGCATTTCGCTACTTTGGAGCCGGATATTCTTGGCAACTGCTTCACAACACTGGCCATATTTTTCACTTAATTTAAATAATATAATTTGGTAACAACGAGAACGATATATTAATTTATATGAAACGTATATAAATTATGTACAGATCACAGAAATGCCACACAACAACTGCACACTTAACTTCTCACTGAGCCAGTGGGAAATACATAAAACGATTTCAAGCGCCGATATGACAGTGGCTATTTGGCACATGGGCGCCGAAAAGAAGGGTCCCTGTAATATATATATATATATATATATATATATATATATATATATATATATATATATATTTTAAACTAGATGACCCGACAGACGTTGTTCTGTACCTATGTCTACAATTTTTTATTATAATATACTAATATTTACCGCTTACTAAAAATAATAATTGTTTTTTAAATGACTCTTCACGCCAAAATGCATATTAAATGAAATTATGTGTCTCAATTCCCACACTATATTGGAAATTTAAGTCTTTTAAACGGTATATCATAATCATAACCATAACCATAATATTGTCTCGGTTCATAATAAAATTGAAATTTTTGGTAGATGATAGTTTTCATTTGTTTTCAATCCGAACAATGACATGTCGTTTTTTTTCAATTTTTTTCATTTATTTCTACAATACTGCACATACATCTCAGTACTTTATAATCACATACATTCTAGAAAATTTCCTTAACAAACTTCAGAAAGATTTATCGAAATCCGAATAATCGTTTAGAAGGAGTGAGTGCTTGTAATTTAATACGAACTTTATATAATAGCAAATTGATTGTACGTTTTAGTTAGAAAACGTTTGTATGTGAAAAAAAGGGCTGTTTTTAGGGTTTTCCCGGCAATTATTCGATTTTTTCTCACCGTAAGAACCATCCTTAGACTTCAACGAACATTTTAAAAAAAGAATTGGCCAAATTGGTCCAGGCGTTATTGAGTTATGCGCTTACCAACACATTTTGCGATCCATTTTTATATATAAGAAGAAGATAAAGCCTCCCCTTTGTTCAAAAAATTATATACTTTGAAATCATATTTTAAGTTCTAGGTAATTCCAATTATAATTTGGAATGGATGCAGGGCTTGAATTTGAGTGAGTGTTAATTGAAAAAAAAGTGATATCAAAGTTTCTGAACAATGGACAATCTCATTTCTCTTTTCGAATGAAAAATTAAATAAAAATTGCTTTGAAGGAGGCTTTTAGTTCCAACAAATACAATCATAAACTAGTGGCGCATGGCATCGTGTCTTGAAGCAAACTGCTGGAACTTTCCGTACCAGCAATTCAAATTTTAAGTACTGGTGTTTGGCATCGTGCCTTAAGGCAAATTGCTGGAACATTTCATACCAAGAATAGCCAAAAATTTAATCAGTTTATCATCTTGTCAAATACAAGTAAAATGTTTTTTGAATTATTAAAATCGGACGCTCCGTTCTCCTAAAAACGGAGTTATCGTCTTTGGCACTTTTTGCCCCATATCTTCGGAACGGCTAGACCTGCCTTCGCCAAAAACTAATCAGCACGTCTCCTTATCAATACGAATCGAATGTCTTTTGAATTATTGAAATCTGTTGACAGGTGTTCCCAAAATTGTCGAGAAAAATTTGTATCCGCAGACACACACACTTTTGAATTTTTTTGAAAATTTAGAACTTTTTTTCAAAGCAATCGCGCTACGTAGCTGTTTTAGCGACGAAAAATTGGTACGGAACGTACAGAAATGTAAATAAAATTAGTACTTGTTATTAAAATCTCTATAACTTATCTGATAATTTGATGTGAATATGTCTAATGATCATTTTTGACCGCAAAATGGCATTTTTTTTCACTTTTTATTGTATCTTGAAACCGCCTGGGCCGCCCAAAAATTTAATCAGTTCTTCGTTTTGTCAGTACAAATAAAATGTTTTTTGAAACATTCAAATCGATCACTCCGTTTTTTTCAAAAACTGAATTACAATTTTTCCACTTTTTATCCCGTATCTTCGAAACGGCTGGACCGAGCACGTCGCACTGTCAATACAAATCAAATGTTTGAATTATTCAAATCGGTTAATCCGTATTTACGAAATCCTCGAAGAAAATTTTTATCCGCACATAAACACATCATTATTTTCTGATACTAATTCATACAAACACAAAAAAACTTTTTCATAAAAAAAATTCATTAAAATTTTCTGTTTCAATTTCTGCAATGCATTTTATCTCTGCGTTTTTATGTCCGTTAGAGGCTGTTATGGCGAGGACATTAGAGAGCTGTGCGAATTTTTCCAGACTTGCGACCAAAAAAGATTTTAAGCGATTTACATAGTTTCATTTACACATGTTTTGATTAAATAAATTTTATAACAAAAATAAATCGCTGATTTTTGTCAAGTTAAAGTACCAAAAATTAAATAATTTTTGTATGGGGGCCTCTAAAAGGAGGAACCATGGGCATGGGTGGATCGGCCTTTCGAAGTTAGTGGGGGTCGATCATACATTTGGACGCAATTGAGGCTTCATTCTAAATGGGTCAAAACGGAATTTTTCAATATTCAACCCTTATTTTTGGGTCAATGCACGGGACATCAGAATTTATTTTAGAGGTATGGTTTCTTCAATCTTCAATCAATATGAATTTATATATATATATATATATATATATACATATATGATGTGATATGATATGATCTGTTGATAGAGAAACAACGATAATCATAGACAATAGTCTTCCACCTTCCACAGCTTCGTCAGAAATAATAGGGACAAAAACTACAATTTCAAATTTCATACACGCACCTGTATCACGCACAGGTTGATCAATATTTGACAATGAACATGTATGACCTTCTATTATTATATAACATACCTAGGCACCATAAAAACTGTTGTAATGAATCCACTTTTCCCTCTCAATGTAATTATTGAGTTGATAAACAGAACGTTTAAATCAAGACATAGCAGTAGCCAAAATATTCGAATACGTGTATAAAATAAAACCTACCATAAAATGCACGTACTCACATGTACTTATGGAATACGTTCATTTAATCATTAAATTGATTTTAATAGAGGCGTCTAATGCCTAGACGCCTCTGGCAGTCTTATCAAAAGCAACTTTTTAAATGCGTTTGATACACACGTTCCTGTTCAAGTTAACTGTGAACTATGCACTGACAATGTCGTTATTTTTCATTACTTTGTATTTACATTTATTTGCACAATCAATTCATGAATACTAACGGTCTAAAAATCTAAAATAATATTGTATTTTCAAAATTTCATAATTGATTCACAAACTAGATACGAAATTAAAATAGAAAATAAATATATAGTTTATGTTTGTTGATGACTATACTTAGCTCTACAAATTCAAAAGTTCCGTGTAAATCATAACTGAATATGAATAAAAGCCTGAAAACTTATTGTTATATATTTTTTACCGTTGCACGAAAGCAGGTGCTTTTTATTTGCCTCTTTTCTCTTCCTAGTTTATAATTAACTTTTACTTCTGCTTCCGAACTTCTTTGTCCAATGCCTCCAAATCTCTGTATTTTTTTTCTTTCTTAAGTCGTGAATCATTTGCATTTTTTTTCCGTTAGTGCCTCCATTTTTACAATGACGTCTAAGAGATTATTGTCCTTTTTTGCATAACTTTTTAGTTATTACCTTATCTCGAAATGCATCATACTGCTTTTTTCAATGATTCAGTAGACTCTTTCGGAGACTTTCCGCAAATAAAGCAGGCGCAAATGTTGTCGTCAAATACTCTTCTTTTATCTATGATGTTGTCGTTGTCATCTAAGCACCTTTCCGATTACCGCAATTAAAAACTGATTGAGTCCTTTTTTTGTAAATCCGAAACGATATTTTTTTGTGAATCCGAAATGGTTTTGCACTCATGCTACTCGTTCTTATTTTCGAATATCCAAGTGAAAATCTGGTCAGCAATCATCATCATTCAAAAAGTTTTTCGGCTATTCTTGTATCTTTTATTGATCTCTCGATATTTTAGCATGATTCTGTCTCAACATAAAATTTTAACTTTTGCGATTTCAACATTATACTGAGTCGACTTTTGAAGCTGAAATTTTTCTTGTGATTAGTCACACACATTTTCGTCCATTTGGTATTTTATCCTGCTTTTCCTTTCCGGACTAACCATCGATGATGGTTTTTGATGCCTGAAACATGAAACCACGTGTTTGTAGCATGATATTGTTACTATTTTTACACAACTACGATTTTTTGAATCGCATTTTGACAAGTACATTCCCATCCCATGATCACCATACGTTGACCATGCGTCAATATCCAGTCTATTTATTCGTAAATTAGCTCCACATTCACCTTGTTGTAACACAAGATTTGGCTCAAGATCAAGATGTACTGCTGTACTATCAGGATAGGCAACCGAGATTTTACTCTCAGTTTCTCGCTCATCAGCATTTTTATTCAGCATACTTCTTTACCATTTTAATCCGTAACATTGGTCAGGACTACTCTACTCATAGATGAGCGTAATGATTCTACTGGTCATGTTCGGAATGAACCATGGTTTAACACTTTCCACTCGCGAATTACAGAATTAATACGTATTTTGCCGCCGCAGCAGCGGCATCCGAGTGGAAAGGGTTAACACTGCAATTTCACCTTATCCTTACCTTAGCAACTATATTGCTATAAGGGCTAAAAATAAATAAAAATGAATTTATTGCAAAAACAAACGCTAAATTCAAACCTAGACTAAATATTATTCAAAAATAAAATTATAAACATGTGAAATGAAATCATAAAATAAAGTATGAAAACAACAATCAAAATATTTAACTTTTTCAATTAAATTTATTTAAATAGTTAAAGAGAGTTAAGAGACTTAGATAAAACACTAATTCAGCAATAAAATTTCTTCATACACTTCCATGTTCTGTGACTGGATTTTCTATGTCCTGTATTTTCTCATCTCCCAAAAAGTAGTACACCATCCACATCCCTTTTCATCTTACTATTCATTACTTCTCTTTTATTTTACACTTACAATACATATATATATATATATATATATATATATATATATATATATATATATATATATATATATATAAATATATTGTATTGTAAGTGTAAAACAAGATGGAACGTACCTAGTTCCGAAACGTCGACTTTTTTAAGTAATAAAAAACAAAAAAAGTTTTTTAATAAACTATTTCTTTATTTATTTACTGTCGACGTTTCGGAAGTAGGTACGTTATAAAACATGATCTTGATAAGATTTAAGCAAACAATATGTTTAAGAAAAGAAGATGGATTTTTTTATTAATAAAATAGTTGCAAAAATAATGTAAGAAATATGATATGATCAAAATGAAAATGATAAAAATGAGTAAAATTTGAAAAATGATAAAAAATTTGAAAGTTTTGGAAAGTTTTAAGAAAAAGTTAATGAAAAAATTGAATTAATTTCCTGTATGATTGAATATACATTAGCACTTTTTCACTAAAAAAGATTTTAACAAAAAATAAATTTATGAGTTTCTTTTTAGCCGAATAGGTAAATTTTGTAAATCAAATTTTTTTTAAGTTTGTTATTTGAAACAAACAATATTATTCTCTCGATGTTATGAGATCAGCTATTTGTAATGAACTGATTCTGAGTTACACGTGCGCTACTTGAAAACTATAAGGATGTGTGTCGTGTTGTTTTTATGTGTGAGGATGTAAATACTTAAATTATTGATCTTAAATGGAAGTCGATATTAATTGTTTGTCAAAAAGTGTAAAAAATTTAAATAAGAATCATGTAACAGGTTGTGATCTGATCTAAGGTTATATATATATATATATATATATATATATGTGTATGTGTGTGTGTCTATATACAATTAAGCAGAGAAAAAATATAATTGAAACATATATAATAGCTAGTAGGCTCCATGAAAAGGAAAATGCATTAATAGTTCATGATAAAATAAAACAACATTGCTTTTCATATATATTTATTTATTTGATCATTAGAATAATGTGCTAATAAAAAAATTAAGTAGATATATCTGAATTGTGTGTTACATATTATATCACACCCACTTCAAAAATAAATGATTACATATTTTAATGTGTAAGTCATTCAGAGACATAATAATGCCGTACATTCAGAAGATTTGTCTTACTCAAGCACACCGTCCATGCCAATAATAGAATACAAAACTTTTTTATTACTGTTATATAAACAAAAGTGATTTAAATGAAAATACTTTTTGTACTCTCTTTCTGCCGATATTTGTGTGGTGTCATTTATCAATTTCAGCGACAATTATTGCAAAATAAACCATTACATAAGAGTAGTTTCTATATGGAATGGCTGTTATTATGAAATAAAAAATAGAGTATATTATATATACGTACATACATACATATAGTAAATATATATATATATATATATATATATATATATATATATATATATATGTATATATATATTGGCAAATAACTAGAATGGGATCACATGATAATAGATTATATACTAAATAAAAATTAAAATTGCATATATTAATTAGAATACAAATATAGTGATAGGTCTTTTTCTATAATAATCACAGGTTTCAAATGTATATATATAATATATATATAGATGTATATTTATGCATTAATGTATATTTAAATATATATGTGTGTATATATATATATATACATATATAACTACATGTAATAAAGTGATAACGATATTTCATTAAATTATCTTCAATGATACATTAAACTAACATCAGCCTTTTACTTGCAAGGGAAACTTAGTAAATAGTGAGCTCATAATACAATTAATATAGTACCTACTACTTCTTAAGTTCCACTTGACAATTTCTGTCGTAACATAATGTGTTAAATACAAAATAGTTATGACACATTTAAGAATTTTCATAATTCCTATGCTTCATGATATTTAACAAATGCTTCTAGCGTTTTAGGAATCTGGCCTTTGTACTTTATTTTGTGCTTACATACTATTGTGGAAGCCAAGCATTTAAGTGATAAATAATTTACAAGAGGAATTACATTTGATGAGTTTTTTTGTATCATTTCAAAGGGACATTCACCAACTTTATTTGGTTGGTCCACGTGTGCTCCATTTTCAAGCAGCATTTGTACTAACTGAAAAAAAAAGACAAATATATATCATTAAGTACTATGTAACTTTCTTACTTTTACGAGACTTTTATGCATAACCTCTTATAATAATTAATTATATTATTTAACAGAGCAATCAATAATTCAAAAATACTATTTTCTGCTGCCTTCTTTATTATCGTTGGCCAAAAAAAAATATGATTGCAATGTAACTACAATATTTGTATTACAGAATAAAAAGTAAAATTTGTATTTTTATTTTTGAAGCAATGCAAGAAGTGTGATTATACATATGAAAAAGCACATTTAAAAGTAAATCACTTACATTTCCATCAAAATTATATGTTATTGAGGCAATATGTAGTGGAGTTGATTTAGATTCATTTCGTGCATTAACATTAGCCCCACAATTCAGCAATAATCTTGCAACTTCCAGATTAGGAAATATGAACTAAAATGAATAAGAAAAGTTACTAATTTAACTTCAATTCACATTTTGTACATATTAAGATTATCACAATTACATTATGGTTTGTTTCTGCAAAATAGCTGCTTTTAATAACATTGAGCCTAGAGACGCACAAATGTAACAAAGAGTCACCAGTACAAGAACTCCTAATATCATGTTGCATTAAATGATGAACTAACATATTAACCTGAAATCATAAGAATTATATTATTAAACAAATTCAATAATGAAAAAGAATTATTATTGAGTAATAACCTGTTCTTTCTCGCTATTGTTGCTTGCTGTCATTAGTAGTAAGTATATTAAATGAGTAATGCATTTTAGCATTCTATCAAAACTTTCTTGCTGCTTCTTATGAACTGGCCTGATCTCCAGTAGATTTCTTGCTTCTGTAGAAATCAGAATAGATGGAAAAAAATTCAAAAAAACTTGATGTTTACTCATATTTCAAATCTTACCCAATATATTTTCTGTTAATAAGGTAAATGTGCCTACGATATCCGAAAATTTTAATTGCCCATTTCCAAAGTCATGAAAATCTGTTCGATTTATCAAATCCAACATTAGCTTAACAATGGCTTGGGCAGAAAAACATGTATCAGAATATAATATGCTGTCCTTCTCAACTCGTAATTGCAAAGCCACTAACCACATGTCTATACACCTTTGATATCGTAAAGCATCCGCATAAGACGCCCCACTATAATAAAAACATATTATAGAAAAACGATAGTGATAATGTAATGAATACCAAAATTGAACACCATTACCGATACATAAGACGAAAAACGGTGTCTTTATGATATGGCCCTAAAATTCTTTCACAAATTAGTAAGCTTTGAATTCTCATGGCATCAATATCTGTAGCAATATTTTCCAATTCTTGATCTGTTGTGAACTCTTGCATATAGCCAAAAGCTTCACGGGGTGCTCTTACCGGCAATTTTGCTAGAAATAAACAAATAAAGTATTGAAATGAAATGAGCATAATTTTGCTGAATAAATTAAATGATTTTTATCTATGAGTCCACACAAGTGTATCTGCTGCACAAATACACTGTAATAATTGTTTTTATAACATGCCACATACAATATTTTTAATAAAAATAAATCTGTTATAAATGTCCAATCTCTATGATTCATAATTCAATGCAACAGTAAGTTTTTGTCAAACTTAGTTAGTTTACTCAAGCTATTGTTAATATTTCAAATATTTGTAAAGATTAATTTACACATTAAAAAAAAAAAAACATATTAGACTTCTGCTCAAGGTGGTAAAAGTTTATAGTACATAATTTCCCTCAAACACAACGCAATTGTTAAATTAAGTTACTTGCAAAATGTAGTTTCATTGGGGCTTTGGATTTATTTTAGAGGTGTTTGTTTTTACATATTTTTAAAATGAAAATATTCTTAATTATTCATGATTGATTGAAAAATTGTGACTTTACACATGCAAAAGCCACTATTTCATAAAAACAAAGGATTCCTTAAACAACTTACGTAAATATTCATCTCCAGCTTTGCGAATTCGATGTGCTATACTCCAATGAAAAATTGCAACACCCGTATCATTATGTTCATCAAGGCATGTGGAACCTAGTCAAGAAATGTTACTTTTAATTTTTTCTCATTTTCTAAAATAAATATATTTTTTTCAATGCAAAAAAAATTCTTGCCCAATAATATTAGCACAAGGATTACGGAAGCCGTCATGAATTTGATAGGTTTTGAAATTCCAAGTGAAACAAAAAACCACAGCAATAAATAATACATATTATAAATAGTTTTATGTGATAGTTTTATCACCACAATCTTCAAGAGTCGCAAATTATATATTTAAAAATGTTTTCAATAAAAATAAATATTAATAAATCATTAACTTATTGATATTTAATTTTTAGGTGAAACTTTATATTGTTCATCTCATATTGAGGTGGAACAAATTGATGTTATAAAATAAATATGCATTTACACTTGGTAACATCTGTAAACCTAACGTTAAGATTACTAGCAGCAGTATCACTTTCTCAATATTACAATATTCATGATGAATATTCAAAGGATGTAACTCTTTCAAAAATTCATATGAATTAAATGTCGTATGATAATTGTTACACAGTTTAAAGCAAAATAATTCATTTTATTAATTTAAAATTAATCTCTTGTAAAATTGTATGTAGTATCCACAAATAATACCTAGCAACTCATGAGCATTTGCTATTCGTTCTTGTGAATAGTTAAATTTTGATTTAAGTAAGGTGAATATTTCATGGGCTCCTTTAATACATGCTGTTTGTAATGCATCATCACCATAACGACTCATTGCAAATACATCTGCACCACGCTCTAAAAGCAACTTTGTCGTTTCAATTCTGAAATTTAAAATAATATTTCAGCAAATATAGGAAACTGCTTATGCAATATTAAAAATGAAATGAAATATATTCAGTTAGATGAGAATAATTGCTCTAAAAGTTAAACGTAAGAAGTGAAATAGGTTTTAGAGAAATTCTACATTTCTTAACAAAAAAAAACCCTCCTGTGCAAACTTTACTTCAAAAACAATCTAATAAAGCAAAGCAATAAACCAATAAGTATTTAATATAACTTGATGATACCTATGTTCCTGAATGGCGTAATGAAGTGCTGTTTTGTTTTGAATATCTCTTGCATTCACATCAGCTCCATTCTCCAATAAAAAGGAACACAAAACATCTGATTGGACAGAGTTAATTAAGCATGTTCCACCATTATAATTTGCTCGTTTTATATCTGCACCATTTTCAACCAAAAACTTAACTGAAAAGTAAAATATAAACGGTTATGACCATGTTTGAGATATAAAATGACTAGTCAAAAGTTATGGCATAACTTGCATTAATATTATTGTCAATAACAAGTTCCTTACAAAATGTTCATTATTTATGTTATTACCAATTTCAATGTGGGTCATAAAACAGGCACTTCTTACAGGAGTCGATCCACTATCAGATACTGCATTGATATCTGCACCACGTTTCAATAACAATTGTATTATAGGTAAATTACCTACAACTGCAGCACACCACAGAGGTGTAACACAATGAACCGACCTAAAATGAGTCGAATGGTTTATAATTTATAATAGAAATATTTGAAATTATTATTAAAACTAAAAAAAAAGAAGGAAAGTACCAATTGATTCATTATAAAATCTGTATAATGAAATTAAACTAATTATTTGTAAACTTCTACGATGCATTGTAAAGTATTTTATGAAGATAATCCCGGATGACTGATAATTTTTTTTAGTGTTTTAAACAAGCAACTATTTTGTTAAGTTTAAGAGTTATAAATTACATAAAAATAGCATTATTGAAGTTAGTAGAAAATTGTAACAAAACAATGAGAACTAAGAACTGGAATTGTACATATGAATTATATTTTGCATTGTATTTTTCAAATGATGTTATGCTCTTCATCCAAAAATAAAATATATATAGAAACAGAATGAACTCCATTAACTAGATGTAAACATTGAGAAATTCAAGTACTAAATACAATAGTAACACTACATAAGACAACTTTACTTAAGTTGTATGAATAAATATATAAGGTTTATCAGCAAAAAAATAACACAGTGAATTAAAGGACTTACATATTTTGTGGCAAAGATTAAAGTTTTGCTTACAAACTAATTTATAGCTTATATACTTTTTAAACAAAAAAGATATCATAAGCATAAAAATCGAATCTCATTTCTCGTAATTTTTTGTAATAAAGATATCAATGTCTCATTGAACAAACAATTGTCAACAAAAGATAACAAAACAAAAATTCTTTGTTCTGTCTTATGATTTTGAAACTCATAGTTTTGTAAGGATTTCATTCAAATACAAAGAGAATCCATTTAAAACTAAACATAGCCAAAATATTTAACATAAGCAATACGATAAAATTTAACTTAGGACGTTTATATATGTTTATTAGTCATTCATTATTTTACTTTTTACCAAGCTTTGAATACAGACTATAAATTTGTTAGAAATTAGTGATTTCAATGTGAGTTCGAACCTTTCATCAGGTACTTCGTATTGACCCCTTTGTTCAATATCAGCTCCGCATTTAGTCAATAGGTATTCGGCAATTTCACAATGTCCCCTTTTGCAAGTAATAAAAAGTGCAGCACATCCATCTTTTAGTCTGCTGACTACCTCTTTCCTCTTTGATCTGGGCAATCTGTGCACAAGAAATATCAAATAACAAATCATATGTGTTTTACTCTTTATGTGAAAATTATATAATGATTCAATACACAATTTTATATACCGTTCAAGTTTAGCCCGTAATCCATAAGATAACATCGCACTGGGCCTTGCATTTCTGCATTCTGACATCAATTCATTAAAACAGATATCCAGTTCAGTATTATTTTTCACAGGTAAGTGATTTCTGGCATTGTCTATTTGTTGCATTTTAAATATAGGATTTTAATATTAAGCAGGTTTAAAAAAATACTGGAAGCACATGAAATTTAGCAATCTGTCAGTTTCTATTTTGCCAAGATCTTTATTATGTATATAGACATTATCAACCAGTTCGACGACGTGAGACTGCGAGACGTTTCGAACAAATGTTATGTTACACAAATGGAATGAAACTTGCGCTATGGTTTTTAAAGCATAGATATAGAAATCACACAGTAGAAGGATTGGACAGCATTCGTAATAAGCAAATTAACATATTAATGTTAACTCATTACGTTAGTTGCAATTAAAAAAAACAAAACAGATGATATAATTTAGAAAAAAAATAATTTTGTTCAATTTTTAAAACTCTTTCATACTTTACATTATGACAGTTGTAAGTATATTTTGTTTTTATTTAAGAGTGTGTGTTTTTGGTAACATGGGAGTAGTTTATACGTGGATTTTTTTAAATGTTACGTAATTTTTACAAATATCACCGTATTGTTAAATATTGATAGTCTTACGGGGCATTGGTGCAATATATATTCATTCAATCATCACATTATGCATAGACCTTATTATACATATGTATTATAAGCCTTCTGCATAATCATCATAGTCAACCACTGGGTTGCCTTATGGTTGCCTTCTTGAAAACACATAGATAGAGTATTGCATCACAAGGATATAAAAACATTTGTTCAATTATATATGAAAAACTAGTGGTGAATGGCATCGTGCCTTAAGGCAAATTGCTGGAACTTCCCGTGCCGTAATGAAATATTCGAGGAATATTAAATGTTTTCAAATACTGTAACTTGTATATGTTTAAAGGAAACTAAACAAACAAAACTTAATCAGTCGAATTTAAAATGAAGGACATTGTCTAATATTTATAACAATTATATAAACTGAATTGCAAAGATAAAATTATTTATTTTAAGTATATTAGTCAGCTTTAGAACTTTAGCCAGAAAGAAATTAAAATTCAATTTATTTTCGATGTTCAAAAAAAAAAGTTTTTGGAAATTAAAAAAAAAATAAATATTTTTTTCCTCCGTTCTCTCAAAAACTAGATTTCTATTTTCCACACTCTTTGCACCGTATCTCCGAAACGGCTGGACCTGACTTTGCCAAAAACTAATCAGCACATCTCCCTTTTAATAGGAATTGAATGTTTTTTGAACCATTAAATCGGTTGATTCGTGCGCCCAAAAACGTGAACAAAAAATTGTATCCATACATACATACACACATCCATTTTTTCTGAAGTATACCAAAATGATTAGAAACCTTCAAAACGTGAAGAAATGTAAAAAATTTCAATTTTGATTTATGGGCGATTACAATAACTTACCCTACCGAAAATCAATAATATTAGTATCAAAATAAAAAAAAGTGATTTTGATATACAATTTTTTTGCTTATTCGTTTTCTTATACAGTTATTTCATTAAATGTAACCGATTTTTTGTAACAGTTTTGTAAACAGTATAAAATATATACCACGAAACTAACAATAAGAACTAAACAAGAATCTAATAACACATTTGTAATTTTGTAAAATCTGATTAATTCTAAATGAATTATTATGATAATGATCAGAAAACGCATAGAATAGTTTTGGTTCGTTTTTGTAACCTCCCGTTGATAAATTTAGATTTTTTTTCAATCTCATTTTATTTATTGTTATACTACAGTTATTTACTCTAACAAATCGTGCAGTAATTGTTATAAGAAATGATTAATCTTTTTATCATTGTTAATAATATGGAACTCTTAATTGTTAGTAAGTTGTTCAAAATGGTACAAAACTTTATTTTTGCTCAAAATATCAAAAAACTTTAATTGGATATGTTATATCGAGTATTAAATTCATAACATTTCTGTTTTTTACTGGCATATTATATTTTTTTATATAAACAAATTTTGAAAGTATTCAAAATAACGTAAATCATAACAATTCGTATATTATATTTTTATTTTTCAACTTTTTACTTTCACAGCGCGTGTTGATCAACTCACAATATAAAGCACTATACTCACTACATACGGGAAAACTTTTTTTATTACAATTTTTAATCAGTTTTTTAAACGTTTTATATACTACGTTTCAAACATTAATTTATAATAGTTACCATGAGTAAAAGTTATATGATTCTATTGTTATTAACTCATTCAATATTACTAATTTCAAAAATAATATAAAATTTTAGGAAATATTTATTAAGAATAAGTTCTTGGAACAAACCTACCACATTATCTACTCATATGGTTTGTAAATCCAGAGATTTCAAAAAGTAAAATATGAAATGACAAAAATTATTGAACTTCTATCCAGTGCTATGTATAGAAATACATTAAATTACTTTCTTATTATTCACAGAGGTGTTTGAGTCTTATTCCAAAATTAATCATTTTTAACATTTGGAACATGATCCAAAATATTATAATTTCAATATCGTCTGTTTAGAGATAAAAAATTTGTTGGCCTTTAAGAGAAATTGGTAGAAAATTATAGGTTTAATTAAATTATTTTGGAGCCTAATTTTCTAACTACAGCTGTTTTAGATATTCATCATAATCAGAGTGATCATGTCCACCAGCTTCAAACACTTTCTACTTGCGACATAAACCAATACCCAAATTGAACTTGCTTTTTGCTGTCCATGAAAATAAAAGCTGAATCGTTCTAAATGAAACTGAAGAAATAAGAAAGAAGGAGAGATGCTTTTAAATCTGTAATGGTTTTAAAAGAAAGTAAACCTCATTGTTTTTGCGTGTTGTTACCCAAGGCGGGGGTACCAGACGCAGCGGAATGCACTGGCATAAAACTTGTTTCGTGAAAAGTGAAAATAACTGCATGCTAAAATATAACAGTTTACTTATACAGGTCCGTGATCATTTCAATCGCCTACATGGAGAGAAGAAGACTTGTCAATATATAATTCTTTAATTTTTATAATTTTTATTTTGAGCAAAATGTACATTACGTACAACAAGTTACAGGAGCCTTACGGCGAGAAACTCGATCAGTTATTTCAAAGAAAGAATTGCTTGATTGAAGTCAATCCAGGGAGAGTGTTACTTCCAGAAAAGTTCAAAGAGATTGGTGAACAAATTAGAGCCTTGAGAATAAGGAAAAGTGATGTTTGGCTTATATCATATCCTAGAACAGGTATGAAAAAAGAACACTTAATTAAGGTGATGATATTTTTTTATTCTGGTCATATTGTAGATCTACAACTACTAATTTAAACCATTAAAAAATCAATAGAATTATGTCATTTTTAATGTGGAGAAGCATAAATGACCATATATTTTTTTAATTCATATATTTTATTTCAGCAATTTTGAAATGCTTTCAGTTGATTTTGAAATGCTTTATGTTACAACACTTTTCTTTTAATTTTGCTTAGGATCTACGTGGGCCCAAGAGATGATATGGCTTCTAGGTCATGATTTGGACTATGCTGGTGCCAGACAACTCCAAGCTATAAGAACTCCTCTGCTAGAGTTGACTGCCGTGATGGCATCAGATCACACCGATTGGACAGAGAACAGTATTGGTAATTCGGTCCAAAAAATACACGAGATGCCAGACGTGCGTTACGCTAAGAGCCATCTTCCAAGAGATCTACTTCCCAAGGAAATGGAAATAGTGAAGCCAAAAGTAAATTTATTTATAATATTATTGATTTAAACATATCATTCATTAAGCAAGAGATCACTTCAAGATAATAACTCATAACACTTCAGTTCAATTCATTGTGATATAAAAACTTTCATATGCGATTATATGTACATCGTGCAGGGTAGCGTGAAATATGCACAAAATTTGAGATTGCATGCATCTTTCTTACTCTGAAATAACTATGTATTGCTATTTAATGTTTTATTTGAAGCGTCAAACAATGTTTACCAATTAATTACGAAGAAACGGATCGGTCCATTTCTAACTTATATATTTTAGAATTTTAGTTGTTAGTTTAGTTTTTGAATTTTCAAAATCGGTTCACAATTTATACCAAAAAAGTTGAGAAATATAGTAAATTAGCAGAAAAATAAAAACTTTTTTTTGTTGAAGTTAATAATAATAATATTTATTATTTATAAAACATAATTTCAGTTAAGAAAACATTTTAATATCTTATGTTTTTTAACGGTGATTAATTGTTTGGTGTTATTTTGTAAATAGAAAACCTGTGAATGCACATCAATGATTTTAGAATTATTAAACTACTTTCAGCCATATATTTATGGTGTATATGCAACATAATAACAAATATATCTATATATAATTTACTACATCTATGTAAGCATTATGTAAACCAAATTCTCAATTTTTTGAAGTTTGAAGGATTTAGTTACTAAGTCATTTTATCAAATTATGATAATTTTATTCCATTTTATAATATGTTTATATTATTTTTGTATTGAAGGTAATTTACATAGCTCGCAATCCTAAGGATATGTGTGTTTCATACTATCATTATTGCGTTTTGATACATAATCTACATGGTACTTTTGAGGAATTCTGTGAGCTCTTCTTGGAGGGTATGGTACCTGTCGGTCCCATTTGGAATCACATCTTAGGTGAGCAAACGAATATGAGGTTAGAAATAATTTTGTTGGTTTAGATTTTAATTCTATATTCAAGTTAAAAGGCGAATCCTTGACATAAAATTTGAGGTCACCCGTCGTACATTCACCCAATGCAATTTTTTATCTGATAATTTAAAAGTAATGAAAAATATTAGAAAATTAAATATTAGAAAAATTTGAAATTGGCAGATCATATTGTAGAATAATTAAGTATTATTCTACGTTTTTTGCATATCATAGAAGAATGTTAGGGCCCGTCGCGGTGTACCTAAGCTAGCACAATCTAGTCCTAGATTCAATCTCAACGTTGGCCAGCTCGATATTAAGCAGTATCGCAGAAGCATAAGCATATCAAATTTCCAAATTTCCACATTTCCACTATTGATCTCAAATGTAATCTCAAGTGAAAATTGCCTTAATGGACATTGCTGCAACGTGCATAAACCAACACTATTACATACTGTATATACATATATCTATAGTATATAAAAGAAGAGTGGATGACCGCTGGGTTGCCTTCTGAAGCGAGACGATAGGTTAGGATGCACGTTAGCAAACACTGCATATAGAACACGTAGTTCTGAACGCCGTTAAAAACGGAATAAAAATGTAGAAGATTTAAAATTATTAACATTCCGTAGGAACAAAAAAAAAATCGTAAATGAAAATTTTTATATATCTTTACGTTTTAAAGGTTTCTGAACATTTTGGCATATCTTGGAAAAAATGGATTTATGTGTGTGTATAGGTGTGTGTGTGTGTGCGGATATAAATTTGCGTCGACGATTTCGGTAACACGGATCAACCGATTTGAATAATTCAAAAAACATTCGATTCGTATTGATAGTAAGACGTGCTGATTAGTTTTTGGCGAAGGCAGGTCTAGCCGTTCCGAAGATACGGGGCAAAAAGTGCCAAAAACGGTAAATCAGTTTTTAGGAGAACGGAGCGTCCAATTTTAATTTAATTGAAAAAACATTTTACTTTTATTGACAAGATGAAGAACTGATTTAATTTTTGGAAAAGCAGGTCCAGCGGTTATGGACTCTCAATAAAAATAAGTTAAAAAAATGTCATTTGGCGGTCAAAAATGTTTATTGGACTTATCCACATAAAATTATTAGATATTTTATAGAGATTTTCATAATGTGTACACATTTTGTGTAATTTTTTTGGGGTTCCGTACCAAGATTTTTAATTACTGTACGGAAAGTTCCAACAATTTGCCTGCCATGTACCCCACTAGTTAATGAAATGTTTTCAGCTTGTTTGAATTTTATTCTTTTACTCAGGTTTCTGGGAGTTGCGCGATGAACCAAATGTAATGTTTCTGCGTTACGAGGACATGAAGCGTAATTTGCGTGGGACGATCGATCGCACTGCAAAATTCCTCGGAACAACCATTGGAGATGCAGATGCAGAACGTTTATGCGAACATCTCAGTTTTCATAGTATGAAGGCCAACCCGGCAGTGAATTTAGAGCCGATCATGCGACAAAGTTTCGGGGATGATTTTCTGGATGGAACTGATTTGCGTTTCATCAGACGAGGCGAAGTTGGCGATTGGCGCAATTACATGACGGATGACATGAGCCAAAGATTCGACAAGTGGACCGCTCAACATTTGAAGGGAACTGGTCTCGATTTTGATTGAAAATTCAAAGTATAGGGTAAAGTCCTATATTAGCATTTGTAAAATATTTTATATTTAGAATTTATAGAACATTTCAAGAAAATTGGCATTGACGTTGCTGATTATTTTTAACTTATTCTGTTAATAATAAGTTTTATATACTTACGTTTTTGAATAGTCATAATATGCAAATTAATTTAGTTATAAGTGTTTCGATGAAATTTTCTGTAAGGTTATTTCACTTCTTTTCGCTATAAGCTTGCGCCCACACATAAATATATGTATATATATGCATATATATATATATATATATATATATATATATATATATATTAGGGTGGTCCTTAGCATGGACATTTTCAAATTTCCTTGCTCCCAAGGGCTCAAATGGTTCCAAATTGATAAAAAACAATTCTCTTTTAGAATTTTCAATAAAAAATTACACAAATTTTCACTTTTAATTCATTTGTTGCTAAGTTATACTTAAAAAAATTGTTTTTTAATTTTCAAAATTTTTTCCATGCTATATCCATACGAAGTTTGATTGAATTGCGCACTGTCTAAAAGACAATATTAAGAGCTAAAACTTTCAGAGAATTGTTTTTTATCAATTTGGAACCATTTGAGCCCTTGGGAGCAAAGAAATTCATAAATGTCCACATTAAGGACCACCCTAATATATATATTTGCCGACAGGAGGCAGATGCGCCCGATGCCTTTGCATCGAGAGAAAAATCATTTTGATTTGTCAGTAAAAGTTGTTAATCGTGTTCATTTTTATATGTATGTTTATACGAAATCTTAATAATATGCAAACATATTAAATTTATAAACAATTTTATATATGGTTTATATAATTTTTTTAAAAATGTGTATATCTTATTTGTTTTTTCAATTTCTTGTTTATAAAAATGCGTACTTTTAAAAAATTATATTTCGTAATATAGCATTCGTCAACACATTTTTGTTCATTATTCATTCTATGAAATACTTTGAAATAATAATATGAGAGCTTATCTCGAACTAATTAGAAATATTACTAATTTGCGATAATGATATTAATTCAAAAATATTTTTGCTGTAAGTTAATATGGTATTTATGGGCTCGCTCGTAGGTATAAACAGCTAGAACGATTGGACTTGAATCAGAGGTTGTCAAGCAATAGTGACAACAATTTTCACTTGGAAATATAGATAGCAATATGTTTCCAAGTGAAAACAGCCCTCGGCAAACCGGCATTGCTGCATCAATAAACTATTCGCCCTATTACAGAAATTGTAATTATAATATTGCATACAGAGATGGGACAACCGTTTGGGTTGCCATCTGTCGAATAGACCAGTTTGAAGTCAAATTAGCACAACAGCTTATAGGACTATTAAGTTCTGATTGCAGTTCAAAAAATTATATAAAAAATGATATTTATAATATTATTGCTTTGAAAAGCAATATTATGATTTTGTTTTACAAATGGAGAAAATCGATAACCGTAATGCTATACATGTACTGTTTATTAAACAATGACGCACCTTTCAACATTTCTGGAGTTCGACGATAACTACAAATACGTCTTAAAGGATTGAAAACATCTGAATTATATACAAACACGTTGCGACCGTGGAAAGGTATTCGGTTAAATCAGAATTGCATATTTTTCTCATGAGTATTGTCGATTTTGTTTACATTAGTCATAAATTAACTGTGAAAATGATTAGTTGTTATTGCAGCGTATATATTAATCGATTTGATTTAAATATAGGAAACAAATATGGAACCTTAATGTAATTATATGCATATTTATATATCAACGTTATTGCATTGAGCATGAATTCAACACATATGACTCATATAAATATTTTTTCGTATAACAGATTTATATATAATATATTTTTTTTTATTGTTGCTAAATTGTATTTATTATTATTAATATATATATATATATACATATATATACATATATATATACATATATATATATATATATATATATATATTGTCAAATATCTCCCTTCCGCTTTTTTGTATTATAAACCAAGAGCAAAAAAGCGGAAGGGAGATATTTGACAACCTAATATATTAGAGTCGTCCTTAATATGGACATTTTCGAATTTCCTTGATTCCAGGGGCTCAAATGCTTTCAAATTGTTAAAAAAAAAATCCTCTATAAGTTTTAGTTCTTAATATTGTCTTTTAGATTTGCGCAATTTAATAAAAGTTTTGTATGGAAATAGCATGGAAAAATTTTCAAAAATTTTAAAAATGTTCTTTTTAAATAACTATCATTTCTTTCAAAATATTATTTTAAATCAAAATTTTAAATGTTCTTGTTTTTAAAATAAATTTTTGAAAGAAATTCATGTTATTATTGTTGTTATGCTCGATTACTAGACTTTGTTAATATATATATATATATATATATATATATATGTATATTCGATTAAGAATAATATTTATAACAAATTTTATTTTATTGTTTTTTGCTATGCATTGCTTCGTATATTTATACTGATTTCTTAATTGAACAAAGAGAAATTGTAAATCATTTTCATTCATGTTTGGCCATTTTTCGGTTTTTCAAAACTCTTACTTTACACGGTTCAGTCGTCAAGATACCATAAATAAGTCCTCATAACGAATCAGTTTCTTCTACTATAAATGTCGAACAAGAAAGAAAATCCAATAAAATTCGTTGCATAGCTGCATATATTTAATAAAATATTAATGTACATTATATATACTCTGTTTTATATAAAATATTCACAAAAAATCTATAAAATTGAATTAAGATCATTAATAATAATCTATTCACAATTTAGATGATATAATATCACCAGTATTATGCTCACAGTTAACGTCAATACTTGCTTGCTTTAGAAATATTCTGCAAAGTAACTATTTTGACAGGATATTTGCTAAAAGTGCAAAGGTATATGCTCCATCGTCTGATTTATCCAATTATCAAATTTCATAATAAGTTCGGGATTCATTTGGGATTTGTAACTACCGACCGCAAATTCGTAGTCAGCGGCTGCGTCGCCCGCCGATCCGCCCTTCTCGTTCATGTTGAGTATGTCCTCGTAGTTAATTGAAGGATTGGACCGCATGTTTTCGCAGCTCAAATGTCTTGCTAAAATTTCAACTTGCTCAGGACTAAGGTCCTTTTCTAAAAACTGTGATACTTTCTTGATCTCTCCGCGAAGATTGGCTTTGAGATCCTCGTACTTCAAGAAAAGGATATTAGGCTCATTGCGTCTCTCCCAAAACTCCTTGACATGTTTCAGGTACGGGGAGAACGACACTGGAATTTTAAAGTTCCGATTAAGATATAAATATTGATGCAAATTAATCTAGATTACTTTTTTTAAATTATTATTTTTTGAACTTCAATAAAATTATTTATCGGGCTGAGGGTGAGAAATTTGATAAGTCTTAATTGTAAATACTTGCTATGGAACATTTTAAGAACAAACCAATTTTATTTTTCACTTTTAAATCAATGATCATTATTAGTATTGATTTTTAGTAATTAAATTATTTTATATATTTAAAATATGTAAACATAGAGTGGTTCAATATTACGCTTAAGCTACACATATGCACGATTGGAATTTTCAGAAAATTGTTACTATGGGACCAATTCTCGGTATGTAATGGTAATACTATGTTATGTGTTTATTACTTGTATGATTTGTTGAAACTGCCAAAAAGCTATGTGTGTCACAACCTAACTTCATGTATGTGCTATCACAGAAGCATCAGAAAGTTGTATTTACGATATAATTGTTATTTGACGTTTAGGCGTTTTGTAGGTTAGGTTTCATGTGTAAAACGCCTGATTGCACAACAAATACATAGCCTTTTTGACAGTTATTTACTACCAATTTATACGATCATAGACGCAAAACAGAGTATAACATCAGGGCCGGCCCTGGAGTCCTTAGCGCCCTCATATCATTTTGTTTCCAGCGCTCCCCTCCTATTATTTTAACTATTTTAATAATTTATCGTTAACATTATATAAACATTTACGATAATTTTCAAAGATACTTTTTAATAATTCTAGGTTTAGTACACAAAAATTAGATATAAACTAAAAGCCCAAAAGTACATCGATTTTAAAGTTATTTAGAAGATCGAGGCGATCATAATCAAATTGTCGTGTCTTTTATCGTTGTCGCTGTACCGAACTATTTTTAAATTCTTATAATCAATTCAAACTTTTTAGGACATGCAAAAATTTTAGTATGTTTATTATTGCTTGTAAAAATATTTTTAAATTTTCAATTATTTCTAACGCATGTGTAATATTAATATTTGGATTTTGAAATATTTTACTTATACGATTTATTCTATTGAGCAAATCATAGAGAGCAAAAAAATCTATCCTATCCTTATTAAACATAACACTGATACTTTATATTGGATTATTTTAATTTAATTTTTCATTATTTAAAATACCCAAATTGCTTCGTAACTTTGCCTATTTGATATCGTAAGGGCCGATTTGTTTCTACTCATCTTTTCTTTTCCATCGTGTCTCAGATTGTTGTTTTAAAGTTAAATTTTTAACGTATTTTAAAAATGTTATCCAAAGATTAGTAAAAGATGCAAAAAAATTATATATTTCTTGAATGATACTGAAAAATATATATTATAAATTTCATATCCGAATCTTGTGTTGGCGCCCCCTAAGGCGTGCGCCCGCATTTTTCGCATGTATCGCATTCATGGTAGGACCGGCCCTGCAAAACATATACTATTTTATCCGAGAATTGGCTCTTATATATGAAATAAAAAACAATAAACATTTAGTTAAAATTTGAAACATATTTTTTAAACAATACATATAATACGGCACATTTAGGTTTATATCTTCAATAATTAAATAAAATGCATCATGTATTGAACGAAATTTTGATTTCTACTCAAAATAATATCGCCAACTACTACTTTTAAATTGCAATATAGCAGAAAAAATATAGGGCCTGAAAGCGGGTTTATATTTAAAATATGTGAGAGTTCAATTTTATACCCATTTACTGTTTCAAAATAGTATTGTTACCTCTGCCTGCCATAAATAATTCGCAAAAGTCTTCGAAAGTTCCGGCGAAGCCTTCGGCCACTCTGCAGTGATGATAATAAGATACACAAGTGTCCTTTGGATTTCGGCATATGTATAATATCTGAAATTATAAAATAATGGTTAACCATATTTCACAGCTGCAAAGTGAATAAAGAATCAAGTTCTAGTCTGTAAACAAAATGTTGCGTAAACTGGTATAGTTTACGTATCATGGTTTAATCAAATATGCAAATTAATCTTTTTTATATTATTTATCATTTTGATTAATAATTGAAGTGTTTCAAATTTATGATATCTTCTATTACACACAATAATGAGGTAGGAATTTTTCCATATATAATGGTTTGGGTATGACATAGATTTTTTTTTTATTTGTTCAACAGGAATCAAAATTTTCCTATATACTGTTTGTTTGAAGATTCAGGGACCGATTCTGCCGCATAACAGACAAATGTTACGGCAAGGCCATGTTACGCTCCAACATCCATACATTATGCTATTGAAACATACTGAATACTGTCAAAATGTTACAAACACCCTGTTATCTAAGATCATTGTCTTGACATTTGTGCGGTTTCCAGGTTAGGTTTTGTATCTGACAAACGGAGAAATACGCCTGACTACACAGCAACCACATGGCTTTGGCATAGATTTTTTTGTTATGCGGCAGAATCTATTTTTCTTTGTGTGTATATATATATGTATATACATACAGGGTGTCTCAGACCTTGACGTCAAGCCAAAAAGGAGTGATAGTATTGACCTAAAACTATCTTGAAAAAATTTAGAAAAAAAATCTTACGTTATTTGGAAACTATGAGCTTTTAAGTGGACCTAGAGCTTTGGTTAAATTATGACCATTTTCATGGTTATTGTGGTTAACTTTTATTAATTTTGTTTATTTAAACTTTGGAACCGTAGCCGTGAATAAGATTTCGAGGACCACACCAAAAAATACCACAATTATCGCAAGTTTTCAAGAATTAAGACTTTTCGTTGAATCATGAATTTAAAATATTTAAAATTGGTGGACTTTGAGAGGCCATTCTTTGTACTAAAGTGTGTTGGCAAGTTTCAACAAAAATTGGTGCATTTAATTAGGATTGTAAAATAGTAAAGTACTTGATCATTTTATTTCATATAGGCTATTTTCACTTGAGATCTATGATTTCGAATAAAAATCTGGTTTCATACTGCTTGATACTATGCTGGCCGAGGTTGACATCGAACTCACGAATTAAGCCATCGAATAATCGGCTCATGACATAGAAATGGAAATAATTTCACAAAATGTGCATATGTTTTTACCAAAACTATTTGCAAAGTCTGTTATTCTGAAATATGGAAACCATAGGTATACTTTTTCAACAAAGTGTTTTTGAAATATGCAATAAACGACTTTGGTAAATATTTTTTGTAGCAGTTTCCAACCTGTGAGGCGCTAGGCTGCTCTAAGGGGGGCACATAAAATAACTCAAAATTTTTGAAACGATATTAAAAAGTAAATAAAAAAATAATCAGTTTTTATGCATATTTTTACATAATATTGCATTATTAATTTGTAGACTGCTAATATCAGTTGAGTATTTACAAAATTAAATTAAATTGAATAAATTAATGGGGGCGCAACATTTTTTTAATAGAGCAGGAGGGTGCGGTGCAAAAGGTTAGAAACCACTGGCTTAGAAGAATTGTATAACGTTTAGCTGGTGGTAAGACAAATTTTATTGACTTTTTATTCATTGTAAAATAAAACAACTGACCTAAAAAAATATAAACAAAACTATTTATAATTTTGATAACATTTTTTTAAATAAGTTTTGCGAGTCACCAAACATTTAATCTTTGATTTTTTTTTAATAAGATAAATCGCTAAACATTTAACCTTGATAATTTCGTTTATCATAGGTTACGTAAATAGTCAAACATGCAATTTTTAATAGTCCCAAAATTTCAAATGTACACATAAAACATATGAGTATCTCTTAATTTAAAAAACCGTAATATTATTTTGAAGAAATTTCTTGATACGCATAATAATCTTTTATTTATGAATATATTATATATCTGTAGATACATTTCTTTATTAATGAAAATTATTACAGATATGGTGATTATTTATCAGAGCAATAATTGGATTACGTCACATGCATAAATGCGAATATCGGATGACATTGAAAATTCATTGATCAGATAAAGCAACTTTATCGACAGGCAGAAAAACACGAGAAATTGCACACTTAATGTACGTGAGTTTCGATAAAAGCTGATTGAAATAATTTTCGAAAGAGAAAAAACGTTTCCAGAAATTTCGAGCGTTGATGATAAGGTGATTTTTTCATCACCAGATCCATCTACAACTAAATTGTGCATTGGGCATTGTGTCTTGAGCTAAATTGCTAGAACTCCCATACATTGACTTAAAATTTTCAAAAGCTTGAAATTTTTTTGAAAACTTTGAATAAATAAAATAAAAATTAAAATAAATATTTTTTTGCAAATTTTGATATTTTTTATTTTTTTTTGAAAATTTTAATATTATGTAAAAACTCTACATTTTTGAAAATTTTGAAATTTCTTGAAAACTTTAAAACTCATTCAAGTCGGTTGAACAATACTGTCGAGAATGTCGAGGACATTTGTTTGGATAATTAGTAAACTATATAAATTTTGGCAAGAACCCATAGATATGGAAATAAATATTGTACTCATTATTAAAATCTCTATAAAATATCTGATAATTTGATGTGCATATGTCTAATGATGTGCATTTGACTGCCAAATGGTATTCTTTCTTTTTGGGGGTTTTCAAAACCGCTAGACTTGCCTTTCCAAAACTTTAATCAATTCTTTATTTCGTTTGAAATGTTTTTTTTTGAATTATTCAAATCGGACGTTCTGTTTTCTTAAAAACTGAATTTTCTACACTTTTTGTTCAGTATCTTCGTACTGGACCTGCCTTTTTCAGAAACAAATCAGTACCTGCCCTCATCAATAAGAGTGGAAATAGTTGAAAATGGTTGATCCGTGCTCTCGAAATCGTCTATTAAAATTTGTATCCGTACATACATACATACATATATACACTCACACATACATCTATTTTTAATAAACTGCTTAGAAAATTTTTATTTTCGATTTTTTACGATTGCTATAACTTTCTTTACGGGAAGTTAATAATTAGCAATCACATTATTGTTATTAAAGTTATTAAAAAAAATGCAGAAAAAATATCATTTTTTTAACAAAATCGATTATAAAAAAATTCGTACTTATAATATCTTTTTCATGAGAGTTCTTGCAAATAAAGCGGCAATTACCTTATAAAACTATTGTTCTTATTTTCTACATGCAAATAATTATACGAATCCTTAACTGAAAAACAAAATTTAATAAAATATAATCCTGTCTCTGACTTATCTATCTGCCGTGTTTCGTAAAAACATATAAATCATAATTTTTAATCATTCTTTCTTTATCAAAACCAGAAATGTTTTCTCTTCTAAATGCCATCTAAATTAATAAGATAAACTTTGATATAATTAAATTTATATCGCGATATACATATTATCAAGTGTATCAATGCGTTTGCTTTGATAACAATTTTGCTCCAATGTAACGCCGTACCTTTATTTCGATAAATTTAATATACATTATTTTTTCATAAAAATTAAAAGTAATTAAATGATTAAAAGAACTATTTATGCAGTTATTATGAAAGAACATAAATACAGTTGATTTTCAACCCGTCTTAATAATTTATTGTAATGAATATTACATGATATTCTTTTCGACTCTATAGATGACAAAAAAGTGGTTAGTCTATTGACAGAATAAACATGAAAACATAAAAAATAAAGTTTAATTCGACTGTAGTTAAAGTTGCATCATCTATTAGCATACTTGAATTTAAAATATTTGTGAAATAGGTTCCAAAACCGAGCTGGAAAGTAGTTTTTAAAGAAATGTTCAAAAGCACAGAGTCTCTTACATTATTATACTCAATATTGATTACCTTATGAATTAGTATAGTAGTACCAAATCCATTTTAATTGTTTATTTCAAGAATTAGTCATTTCAAGAAACTTTTCCGAAGACACCATAGGTCTAGAGTGAATGCAGCGAAATTTTAAACAAAGTTATTGCTCCGCATATTTAAATATTGACTTATTGTCTTAAAGACGTGCAAAATGTTATTTTCCTCTAGCCGAACATGTTTGTGGGTCAAACATTTATTTTTACAAAAAATAACCATCAAAGCCAGAGTACTTTGGTCCATCTATTTTAGATTTTTATTATATAATTATTAAACAATCAAAGCTGAAAATTTCAGCTATTTTAAAATTGATATTATATTAGAGAAGAAAAATCCTAAATGCCTAAGTATTGGAAAAAAACTATATTGAAAATTTCGCTGGCTCAAAATTCACTTTCTATCTATGAAATAACATATGTAACCAGAATCGAAGAGTGACCCAATGTCGAAAAAAATATGGCTCGTCTTAATGTATACATTTTTACATACTTTTACGTTTCATTGAACAATTTCTCGTCGACGATTTCGTTGAGACGATCGGGATCAATCGATTTGAATGATTCAGAAAACATTCGATTCCTATTGATGGGAAGATGTGCTGATTAGTTTTTGACGAGGACAGGTCCAGCCGTTTTGAAGATACGGGTCAAATAGTGCTAAAAATGGCAATTCAGTTTTTGGTGAGAACGGAGCGTCCGATTTGAATGATTCGAAAAACATTATACTTGTATTGACGGAATCAAGTACTGATGAAATTTTTGTGAAGGCTGGTCCAACGGTTTCGGAGATCCAGATAAATGTTAAAAAACATCATTTAGCGGTCAAAAATGATCATTAGACATATGCACATCAAATTATCAGATATTTTATAGAGATTTTATTAATAAGTACAAATTTTGTTTCTAATTTTTTGCGTTCCGTACCAAGATTTATGTTTAAAGTTCAAACAAATTTCCTGAACATTTTCGACTCTATGGATCAACTGACTTGAATGGGTTTCAAAATTTTCAAAATGTTTCAAAATTTTCAAAAAAGTTTATTTAAAAAATCTAAATTATCATTTAAAAATATTCCAAAATAGCAAAAAAAAACTATTTTTTTCAAAATTTTAAAGCTTTAAAAAATTTGAAATTATAGTACGGAAAGTTCTAGCAATTTACCTTAAGACACGATGCCATACACCACCATTTAATATTATATATTAACATTTAATAAATCAGTATTATTATTTTTATTTCAAATAATTCAATACATTTATTCGATGTGAAGAATACATCTGTCACTATCTGTTTGCATTAAAGCGTTCATAAAGAGGTCGAGTTTCCTTGAATGTCGTACAGGATATTTTTAGCATATTTCCTGCGCTCTAAGCAGCATGGACAGATATTGATTTCCCTCACTTTTATTATTTTATTATAAATATCGAAGGAGTTCTCAAGTAAAAGGGAGACATAATTATGTATTCTTGACACGCATAGTATCAACCGGTAATGTGGAAATATAATGCTCTCTAATTCTATATTATCAAGTATTCAATCGTCTATAAATTGTCATTCTAATTTTGAGCTGACGGGTAACTATTCGCATGATATATGTATCACGATTTCCAACATTCTTATGAATTTTGAAACAGTTTTGTTATATAGAGCTTAAGAGTATTTCTCAAAATTAAAATTAGGTGAAAGTCTGTGAGTTGAGATATGAGTTATTGAAATGCTTTGCTTATTCAATAAACTTTAACAAAAATCTTATTATAAATGAAATATAAAAAATAAATATGTACTTAGCACAAAAAAAGGTATTCATTAGCCATATTCAATTTTTTACTTTATATTTATTGGTAGGGTAGTGCTGCACTTAAAGGTCCGCGGGTAAAAAAGTTCACCACCGATATCTCAAAAACAAGTAAAGTTAACATTTTTTTACAACAATATTTGAAAGTAGGGAAAAAAGATTTATAACCAGCCATCACCGTGATTTAATTATTTTATAAAATGTATTATTAATTCAAGTAAGATTCAACAGTTTTTTTTATATAATATATATAAAAGCTTACATGTGGGTGGGGTAAAAAGTATCAACTGAACCTTTACTCTGGAAAAGGTGTAAAAAGCAAAAATAGTAAATTACAGAAGATAATTTAAATAAATTGCAACTCTCCTAATGAATATTTCTGATGAAATACCAGATCAAGGTTACATTGCAGTGTTATCTCTGTAAAAAATGTACCCATGAAATTTATATTTTGAATTGGATGAATAATTAAAATATTATTAAATTAAATAACTATTTTTACAAATAAGTCCTTCAATATTGAAAATAAGACATTGAACCTCTTGGCCCTCGGTCGTCCTATTTTGCCCCGTCTAAAGGGTAAAAAATACTAGGTGAGAAATTTTTGGAAAATAGCCAGAAAAACATATTTTTGCAATGATTTGCAGTCGTTCGTTTGATATGTGTTATTTATTGTGATAAAATTAGTTTGGTTTTCACAATATAATTTCTCAAAGTCAAATTGGACCTTTGCTCTCCACCCTACCCTGTAACTTTTAAAATTCATTTTTACAAAAATCCGTTCCTTTATAAAATTGTTCTACTTCTCACCTTTTCATTACAACAGTCGGATTTTATAAATCAGTAAATAAAATAAACAAGAATAAAATGCTGCTGTATTTTAAAAATTGTGATTTGATTCTTCAAAACATTTGATTCTCCTTTTTCTATTTATTTGAAAATTTACTTTAATTACAATTATTTAGAAAATCTATTTATGACATAAACAAACAACCATAGACCGAAAGAAAACTGTTGTTGTATCTGATATTATGAAAAGTGGGACGATTTAGTTTAGTACTTTTCAGTAAGTGCATTTACAGAATCTAGAAAAAGTTTTTGATTTTTTTAAAGTTGTATTTCTTGAGCTTATGCTCGTTTTGTAGTGTTGTCAGGAAATATCATTATTATTTTTTTCAGAAATAGAGTTCAGAAGTAACAATTACTGCTGTACGTTTCTTAACTACTGAAGCCAATTAATTTCAGCAATAATGAAATGATTTTACTATAGTCGTAATAATTTTTAAAACTAAGTTTAGAAATTAGATTAAAAATACTAAAAATATTTTTGAATTACCTTAGATTTAGATTTTCGTGTCTGTATCGCTAGTGGAAGGAGTTCCCAGGGCAAATGCGTTTTGATGCATCTGCTTCCTCTTTTCTTAGAAACATAATTAATTGACCTTAACGCTGATGCTGGTATTTCTACATTATCTTTTAAATTGATATTGTCGAAATCATATAGTATCGAATGCCTGTTGAAAAAACAAGAAATTCAAAGCGTTAATAATATAAAAGTATCGAAAGCAATAGTTTTACAATGACTATTTCACCTATTTTATAACAAATATGAAATTATGATAATAGAGAAGAGTTGTACGTATATTGATTTGCTTAATTAAAATTTTTATTACACTTGCAAATAAAAAATAAAACAATAAAATTAATAGGTGTTATTATTATTGACATACTATTTGAATGGCGGTAATATAATATCAAATCAAACATATTAAAACATGTATATATATAAACTACGTTTAAAATTAATAAATAAAACTCGAATACCTCTTAAATAATCTAACTAATAATAACTAATAATAATGTGCAATATATAATAAACAAAACTAGTAATTGTTTTATTGCATTTAAAACAAAATTTAATTTTCTTATTATTGTTTAAACGAAATGAAAATAATATGCAAAACCTATAATATGGTTTTAAAACAGAAATAACGAAATATCAATTTGGTGTAATTTTGTTTAGCAAGCAAGTAAAACTTTAATATGCTTTAAGCTAGTAATACGCTTTAAGCTTATATACTTTTTAAATTGATGTATAAAATTGTAATATAAAACTAGACTCATAAAACAGTATAATAATTTATTATTATAATTCAACGTTTTTTATTTTAAATTAATAAATTACATAAATTGTGCTAGTAACATCTTATTTCAAACGAAAGAAATATGGCTATTTTTTGTCATTATAAGAAAATTTTAGATATTTATTATCGAATAATTTAGAAAACTTACTCTAAAAATGGTACTCGTTCTTGTAAAGGCGCTTTAGCCTTCTGGAAATCCAAATTGTGTAATATACACCAAACCATCTCTTGAAGCCATACTGTTCCTAAATATTGAAAATCGAATATTAGATATTTTTCTATTAGATATTAATAGTTGAAAAGTTAAAAGTTAAAGATTAACAATGATTTCATTCAAATTTTATATCTTTTTGCACTATATTTATATTCAAAAACAACCCTTAAATAAACATACTGTGATTTACACGAATAATATATTTATCAATCTTATATATTTTGAAAGCTCTAAAAGTGTACTTTATTATTCTATTATAAAATACAAAAATATAAATTTTAATCCTGGCAAAATAAATTTGGAATTTTATGTGGTATATAAAAACTTCATTTCTATCATTGACAGTCACTATAACAATTCGTTGAATGCAAAGCGAAAAAAAAACTATTTAAATCCAAAAATATACATATAAGCCTTATATAACTGATAATAAATAGTGGGGGAAATTTTAGAAATTTGAGTACAGAAAATTTTAGAAGTGGCAATAATGTTTATTTTGTGTGGTATTTATAACCAAGAAAAAGATAAAGGTTTTTGTTTTGTCTTGCTTTGTTTATAAAATCAGAAAAGCGGTTTGAGTTTCACAGTACTTTTATCTCTGTAATTTAAATAGAGTTCTTTCAAACTTGCAAAATAGAGTATGATGTATACAAGCATGCATGCAATTTCAATGAAAAAATACACACACAGTATATATAATATGTGTGTATATATAATATGTGTGTATATATGTAAATTCAACTTTCAAAAAGTTTAATATCGAAAGCTTCGAATCAATGACAATGTGATTGGTGATGATAATATTAAAACAAATTTATTTTACCAACATTCATATAGCAAATTATATATTTTTTGCAAAATATTTAAGAGGCATATCTGATAGTTGCCTTCCGGAATATAAAATAAAAGAATTTTGAAATAATTTGATATAATGAAGAAAAGAAGAATAAAACTTAATAACAAGAATATATACACAGTCTTAAGATCTTTCTTAACGAGTGAGGAAAAATAAGAACCGCATGTAGACTAGGAGATTTCGGACCTCCCTTCTATATTATTGTTTATCAATATTTTTTATCAAACAGAGATTTCAATTTACGTTTATATACTTTATTTTTGATTATTTTCATATCTCGATTAGAAGAAATTTTTTGCTGATGAATCTGGGTTAATAGGAAAGAACCTCTTTGATAAATCGACTTTTTAAGGAAAATATTTTATTAACAACGAATAGGGACTCATTAGTCTTCCAGTTGCTGGGAGAAAAATAAAATTTATATAGGGTATAGCTGGACTTAAAGATCGGCGGGTAAAAAGACCCACTACCTATATCTAGAAAACTATTTGAAAGTAGAGGAAAAAAAAATTATAACCAGTCATTATCTTCATTCTTACGTATTGCTATTGAGAGATAAACGGCAATGTTTAAAAATCTATAGCAAAAGTATTTTATTTCCTTGTTAGTTTTTTTGGTTGTGAGCACTGTTATTTAGTTCACGAAACCAATATATAATTTTGAGTATACGTTATTTAATTGTTTTATAAGATTTATTTTTAATTTTGAGTTAGATTCAACCGTTTTTTTTTCATATAACCTTTATAAAAGCTTGCACCTTGGTGGGGTTAAAAGGACCAACTGAATCTTAACCCTAGCAAAGGTATAACCAATAAAAAATAGTAAATAAAAAAGTAAGTTAAGTTAAAAAAACTATTTTATAAGAAATAAATTAAATAAATAGTTATTTCAACTCTGCTGATTAATATTTCTCACGCAATACTAGATCAAGGTTATATGCAGTGTTACCTCTGTAAAAAATGCACCCATAAAATTTATATTTTTTATTGGTTGAAAAATTGTAACTATTATTTTGTTAAATCCCATTAAAATAAAAAATAACACATTTGCATTAGATATTTTGTTTCCTGTCCGTTCCATTCTATCCCACCTCTGGTATAAAAAGGACCAGGTGATCAATTTTTAAAAAAACTGTAAAGGACACATTTCAATAATGATGAATAAGCTCGAATTTTATTTGAACTAGTTAGATAGTTGTTTATTTAATATGTGTTATTTGTTGTGATATAATTTGTATGGTTTCACGATATAATTGCTTAAAGTCAAACTGGACTTTTGTGACCCTACCCCTATATATGCGCAAAAGCACCATCTCGTGTACTCTTCTTGAATGAAAATAGTTTTTGTTTACAAGTGGTAAATGCAAACAACAGCCGCGTGCCAGAAGTAATATCATAGACTATTGATAAAGTAAAAGCTATTTTTATTTACTACTGGTCTTGTTTCTTAACGCAACTGAATCTACCCACTTAATACACCAATATTAGATGAATGAAATCTGCAGTTTTTCATGTTTCAAATTCATGCAAAAAATAAATGGAACTTTGAAACAAGAGGCAATTGCATTTATAAATCATATTTTCTATTTTTGAACTTGTAGAGATTTCAAAAAAATTCAATAAAATTTTCAGAACCTCTTAACCTATAATTTGTAATCTATATATGGCATTAATGAAAGTCGTTTTACAGGCTGACACCAGATTATACAAAAAATAATTCGAACTTGCAGACAACTGAAGTGGAAATGAATTTTTCAGAGAAAATATGATTCATCATAAACTTTATATTGTTGGTTTTATATGGATTCATTCATTTTGATGGCTATCAAATGTGGAAGGGTCTAAATAAGAGAGGTTAATTTATAATAAAATCAACAAAATTATCAAACTAAAAATCAATTAAAAAAATTTAAGAGCATTATTATGATAAAATAAACAGCTTTCGTTTATAAGTAAATTACAATGAAAATTATAATTGAATTATATATATTATAATATTTTAATTTTTAGTTTCAGGAGAATGAATGTGCAGTTATATGTTGCGTGAAAATATATGAAACCGCTTCTTGCCTTAAAAAAATACTAAAATGAAGAAGAGCAAAAATTATTGTCCCAATAAGGGGCTTGTCAATTATGATCCAAATAAGAAGCTTCATAAGTAGCTCTGGTAAAGTATCTTTTGCACAACCGTATTATATCTTTTATATCAAATACTGAGTTTGATCATTTTATTCTTATAATTTCAGTTAAAAGAAATCATACAAACTGTGTTTAATTGAATTTTCATATTTTTTACATGTATATATGCATATATATGTAACATGTCTATGAATATCAAAAATAATTTTTATTTCCTATTTTTTCATAAAGAATATTTGTACAAAAAAATCATTGTCTGCCTCATATGTAATAGTAGCAGGCCATGTACATTTTGTTATTTGAATCTAGTTGAATGAGAAGAAAACATGTTTTAATTACGGTGGCTGACAAAAAAAAAATATAATATATCTTTATTTATGAAATAACTTGACAAAACCCAAAATACAGAAACAATATTAAGTGTAATGATTTTGCACTTAATTTTTTTATGTATTACTCTTTTTCACTAAACAGTATAGTTTTTTAATGTACATATATAAAAGGTCACCAAATGGAATATTGCATAAAATCAAATTTTGCAATATGTAAAAAAAACATCTTTGAATTTAGGTGAATAAATTATTAATGAAATAAAGAAATTAACATCCGAGTACCACCTAATTTATCAATTGATCAGAAATTTTAAATCAAAAATAATTTCAGTTTTAAATAAAAAGCAGTTTAGTTTTAAAGGCAAGTGAGGGTTGGGAAAGATGTAATTTCTGAATACATTTACAGATTTTTCAATGTAGTGATGAAAAGTGATAGTGATTTTTTGATGCAGTTAACCTGTCCGTGTTATTTCATTATCAAATTATGGGTCACGCACCAACCTATTTTATATGAACTTCACATTTATGAAAAATTATGAAAAAAACATACAACGCGCTGAAAATAGAAATGATTTAAGGTAAATATTAACAAGGTATTTATAAAAATTTTATGTTTATTTTCACAATTGATTAAGAAATTAAAAATGCGTTTAATAGTTGGCAGTCAAAACCTGGAATTACACTTCCAAACGTAACATCTTAGTTTATAAGTTAACAAATGGAAATATCAAATAGAGAAAAATGGATCCATTTCGTCAAATCTTATGCTTCGTACTCAAACCATATTACTATTTTCATAGTAGAGAGGGGCTTGAAAGCTTAAAGGTCCGCGGGTAAAAAGGTTCACCGATATCTCAGAAACACGCAAAGTTAAGAATTGTTTAACAACTATATTTGTAAGTAGAAGGAAATAGATGTATATCCAGCTATAGCCTTAATTCTTATAACATTGCATTACAAAACTCATAACAATAAGCATTTACTTTCGTTGTTGTTTTTTTTGGTTGTGAGCACAATTGTTTAGTTTATGAGACTTCATTGAATTTTTAAGTATACTTATATTCAAGTTTTTTATATAACCTTTATAAAACTATTTTGTATAAATAGTTATTCTAACTCTGCTGATGAATATTTCTGACAAAATACGAGATTGAGGCTGTATACAGTGTTATCTCTTTAAAAATGTACCCATAAAATTCACATTTTGCATTAGTTGAATATTGCAGTTATTATTTCGTTAAATGCCTCTAAATTAGAAATAAAACATTGGATTATTTGTCCCCTTGCCGTCCCATTTTACCCCACTTATGAAGTAAATAGGATCAGGTGACAAATTTAATAAAACACATTTCTAAATGATGAATTAGTTGCGAGTTTCTCTGAACATAGTCAGATAGTTATTCGTTTGATTTGTGTCATTTCTTGTAATATAATTCGTTACAATATAATTGTTCAAAGTAAAATTGGACCTTTGTGCCCCGCCGCATCCTATAGTAAATGTAAAAATAGTGCAACTAATACTGTTGAATACTGGCTTTTTACTTTATTATTTTAGTAAATTTACAGTATATAGCATGTAATGTATCAAATATCGGTAAAGGTAATAGGATTCGAAACTTGTGGTAAACATTTTATGTAATTATTGGCTGATTTTATCAGATATTTATAATTGATCAACTACATAATAGTTTTAATATAAAAAATATAATAAACATCAAAACAAGTACGATTGCTAACATTTAGTACAGCAAATCTCTGTGGTAATCAACCGTTATTAAGTTTTGAAATGCAACAAAAATTTGTTTGTATGCCCATTTATATATGAATAAATTGAATGTGGTCTGTCGACTTTATTTGGTGATTCTATGGAGTGACATGAGATGTGAAGTTGGTAAATGTTCGTATTGTTACCGGTTTCCGGATGCGATATCACCCATACGTCCTCGTTCCTGATCGCAAAGTCTCTGATTTGATCCTTGAACTTGAGGTATTTGATAGGAAGGCACGTTTTGTTCCTGCCGACTTCTACATAGCCTGTGCGAAAGTCGTTCACAAAATACTTATGCAACAAATAATCAGCTTGACAGCCATCGCTCTGAATGACACGATACGTATCGGTCATAGCATTAAAATCACAAAAACCTTATCCCAGTCGAACCTATGCTCCCGAACACGGTTATTTGAGAGAAAAAAAATTAACCGAAATAGAACTTTTGCACTGTTATCAGCAGCGGCGCTGATTTTTTATCGCGTCGTGCGCGTGCTGTGTGTACCTGCACGATACAGCCGCAATTATTTATACATATGACAAATTATATGTATATTTGGTTAATCGCCGATGTCGATAATGAATGTCCCGGCCTGATGAATTTCTAAATTGGTGCGATTCGGTTTTGCACATGCCACATAATAAACAGGATCGCACTTGAACTTGAAAATATAATCTATCGCGAATGTGTTGAGATGCAATTCGTGAATCGCATCAGTCGAGATTAGACCAATGACTAATTCAAGACTTATGAAATTAATATGAAGACGCTTTATCTGACAATGGGCGTCTTCTGGGGTGAAGGACTAGGTGCTTCATGTGCATCTGATACTGCGAATCATATGTTTACTGTCAACAGGATCTTTAAATGCTCACTCGCGCTCTTGACAGACAACGCATTCTTTTCGCTCGTGTCACTCATGTGACAATCATTTCTTTTGCTTAAATATATAATGACTTATGCTCCTTCACTTAACTCTACGTACGACCTATAAAAGATGATATAAATCTTTCTACAATCATAAATCCTTTTTAAATGACTTTTGAATTTAAGGAATTTAATTACGAATACTTATTTATTTTATTGTATTTTTACGTTAATTTGTTTAATACATGTGCTCAATATTATAAAAAATATGTTAGATATAAATATATAAGTCAATTGTAGAATCAACATTTTATGATAATTTTTAGTGATTGCAAAAATAAACGTGACCGCAAGATTGTTCATATAAACCTGTACATGATGGTTAAGTAAACATTTATATATACATATATGAAGTGTAGAACGGGGCTTAAAGGTCCACCACCAAAATCTCAAAAACAAGTCAAGAATTTTTTTAACAACAATATTTGGAAGTAGAGGTAAAAACATGTATAACTAACCATCATGTTGCTACCAGGGGATAAACGGCGAAACGAAAATCTAAACAAAAGGCGAAAACGGCGAAACAAAAGTATTTTCTATCGTTTTTGATTGTGAGTACTGTTGTTTAGTTTACGAGACTTTAATATAATTTCAAAGTATTCGTTATTTAATTGTTTCATAAGATGTATTGTTGTTTTTAAGTTAAATTCAACAGTTTTTTTTCATATTGCCTCCATAAAAGCTCACTTGTGGATGGGGTAAAAGAAACCAACTGAACCTTTATCCTGCCAAAGGTGTATATAATGAAAAATAGTGAATGAAAAAGTAAATTAAGTTATAAAAAACAATTTTACAAAAGATAAATTAAATTATTAGTTATTCTAATGTTAATACCAGATCAAGTTTATACACGGTGTAAATCTTCGTCAAAAATGTGCCCGTAAAGTTTTTATTTCGCATTAGTTATGAGCTACAAGTAAGAACAAATGACAAATTTTAGAGGAATAGTGAAAAAATAAATTTCTATAATTAGTAATTAACTGACAATGTTACTGAACATAGTTTGACAGTTGTTTGTTTGATACGTGTTATGTGTTTTGATATAGTTTATTGGGTTTAGACAGAACAATTGCTTAAAGTCAAATTGGACCTTTGTGCCTTGCCCTATCCTACTAAGTTTAAAAAAATTCGCTAATTGATATAGTATGACTACGACAAATTTTCCAATGTCTATCTTGTTAAAATTCACACACTAAGAATGATTTTAAACTTAATTAAATTTTTTTTTCAGTTTGGTTCTATAGGTCTTTAGTAAATTATATGCTTCTAACACTTATTGGTAGTATGTTTAATGAAAGTTAAGTTCGAATTGCTTCATTTGGCAAAACAAAATTCTTTGCTTCTCAAAATTTTATTAAATAATTAAACTGGGCCAGGAAACAATACAGAGATTTTACAACCTTAAACGTTACTAAATTTTCCTTACAAATAAACTACATTCGAAGGTATTAAAATGGTTTATATTTTTAATCTAATTTAACTTAACTTTAAGTTTATGCAAATATTTTTATTTACTTTAATCATAATGACTAAATGCAAAATAACACAAAACTAATTTAATGAAAAAATATTTACGGATAATTATATGACAACGTAATAACTATTACGTTATATTTATTTAGTAGAATATAAATCATTTTCTCATGGCCGATACTGTACTATTATCTTATCAATAATGACAAACGTCTTTGTTAAAATAATCAGAATTGTGTTAATATACTTATTTGCAAAATACATGTTATCACATTTGAAATCAAGATATATTTATTAGATTGATGACTCAACAGATTTTAGTTTCTTTTATAACTTTTCCCTGTACAAAGTACTCTCTCTTATAAATTTATCAAAATTTTTATTTTTCAATAGGTATAATATGAGGTGTATTATGAGTTTATGAGTATCGAAAATTGAATATAGAAAATCTTAATGGAACTATTGCTACTGATTTTACCATTTTCTTGAATATAGCATTGATAATCAAGGATATTTAAAGTTCTGGACTTTAGTATGTAGTAAATTTTAAATTTAAAAGAAATTATTGTTATATTTATTCTGAGAGAGAAATTCTTCTATAGATATTTTATGCATTTAAATATTATCCTCCGATTCGTGTTGGGTGGTATGATTTTGTATTTTCTTTAATTATGATATATAGGGTAGGGCAGGGCGCAAAATACAATTTGACTTAGAGCAATTCTATGATAAAAACCACACTCATTATATCATAACAAATAAAACATATCAAAAAAGAAACTATCTGAATATGTTTAGTAAAACCCCCAGCTTATTGTAAAAATGTGCTGTTTTGCTGTTTTCCAAAACATTGTCACCTAGTCCTTTTTTCCCCGTAGAAGTGGTAAAATGGGAAGACAAGAAAGCAAATAGATCCAATGTCTTACTTTTAATTTTAATGAGGTTTTGCAAAATAATAGCTACATTTTTCAACCAAAGCGAAATATAAATTTCATGGGTAAATTTTTTACAGAGATAACACTGTTTATAACCTTGATCTGGTATTTCTTCAGAAAAATTTATCAGCAAATTTGGAATAAGTTTGTTTATTTATCTCTTGTAAAATTGATTTTTTTAACATAATTTACTTTTTATTTACAATTTTTTGTTCTTAACACCTCCGCAAGGGAAAAGATTTAATTGGTCGTTTTTACCCCATTTACGTGTTAGCTTTTATAGTGGTTATGTAAAAAAGTCTGTTGAATCTAACTTAAAATTAATAATACATTTTATAAAACAATTGAATAACGTATACTTAAAAATTATAATAAGGTCTTGTAAACTAAACAACAGTGCTCACAACCAAAAAAAACTAACAACGAAAGAAAATACTTTTGTTATGAATTTTCAAACATTTCCGTTTTTCTCTCGATCGCAACATCGTAAAAATCAAGCTGATGGCTGGTTGCACGTGTTTCCCTCTACTTTCAAATATTGTTGTTAATTTTTTTTAAATTAATGTTTTTGAGATATCAGTGGTGGACCTTTTTACCCGCAGACCTTTAAGTCCCGACGTACAGAGACACAGACAAAAAACAAAAATTAAACCACTTTTATAAAATAAGGATTTTTGAAGCAACTAATTGGGCAATTTGTATATTATTTTTCAGTACATTCAAAATGTTGTGTTTTAACAGTTTATAAAGATGTTTTTAAAGCCAATATAGAAAGCATAATAAATTTTAATTTACTAATAATATATAATTTGTAATATCAGTATAAATGCAAATGTTACTATGATAAATTATATTAAAAGTGATTATTATACAATACTATTTATCATAAATTGACACTAGACTAATTTCACGCAGTACTCCTAAAAAACAAGAGTCTATTATAATATATAGATATTTTGCGTAACGTTTTTTGAAAGAATTTCCAAAAATATTTTTTTAATTTAATATTAATAATAATTATTATGAAGATGAATATTTTTTAATTTGCAAATATTATTTTATAATAAATTAAACAAATTCTGTGGTCTATCTCCGCTTCTGAATGCAATTTCAAATTAATAAACAAATTGCCGATAAGGTTTATTGAAATATAGGTCAAAATAAATATTGAACTTGTTTTATTTTTATGATATGTCATAATATCGCCTGTGTTATGCGACCGTATGGTTCGAGAGCATGTGCATTAAATTCGGATCAAACTGATTGTTACTCGTATTATTAATTCGTTTTTCATTCAAAGAACAACATTTTTAATGTATATAAAATTTACGTATTGTTAAAAACTATTGTATCTTCTGATTTTAATATTCAACATCTCTATTTTTTGCAAAGATAGCTTTTCATGCAAACCATTTATCAACTATGTACTGTTTGTGCGCATCGGGAAATATTTTAAATATTTTTAATAAGTATTTATAAAAATTTCCATTATTACTACTTTATTTGAATTATTCGATTTGTCATATAAAATTTCTCAAGAAATCATGAGCACTCTGTAGGAAAGAGATTTTAATTATAATATGAATGTGTGTAAGGTAAGGTATCAAAATCCACGATCCGGCAAACGTTGTTTGGCCATAAAAAATATTTCTAGTATACAATGTTTAGTATATTTTTATACTAGCTGATAGAAAATGTGGTATATAAGTGAAAAAATCAGCAAACAAAAAATATATGCATGTTTCTGGGCCATTAGTCTTTGCAAGTGCCATCCAAACTGATTATATTTAAATTGAATTGGCACATTTGAAGTTTCAAGATTTTAATATATTATTATGAACTTTTTATTAATTCAATAATTTTTGAATTACGAACCAAATTCCCATAATTCATTTTAAATTATATTGTTACGTAGCATGCCCAGCAAATGACTAAGATTTTAAAAAAAATAGTCAGAGAAAAAAATTTACAGATTGCTATGAATTTTTATGATACCTATAGTTTCCCATCAAATACTGTTGTATCTTCAGATTTTAATATTCAATATCTCTATTTTTTCGCAAAAATTGCTCTCTATGCAAACCATTTATCAACTATATACTATTTGTGCGCATCAGGAAATATTTGTATAATGGGAAAATGGAAGGGTGGACAACCCTTGATGAAAATAAATTGTTTTTTTTTTAAGTAAAATTCATGCTTTATCATAAGGCCAGGAAAATATGAATTAAAGTTCAGTAAACAACACTCACTGACTGAAAGCGTGGTGAAAAATCATTCGATTACTAAAATAGCT